TGTGTGGCGTGAGGTAGGGATCCAGGTCCATTGTCATTCCAGGCAGCTACCCAGTCCTTCCAACACCATTAGCTGAAAAAGACTTTCCTCTCCCCACGGGCACCTCTGTCAAGAATCAATTGCCCATATATGTGTGGGTCTCTTTCTGGGCTCTCTCTTCCTGCCCCATTGGCCCAGCCCCCTTCCTCTTTGCCTCTATCACACCGTTGTCATTACTGCTGTAGAATGAGACCGCAGGTCAGGTGTGTGAGTCCTCCAACTCTGGGGAGACCTTGGCGACATGGTCCTTTATGTCTCATTGGCCAGAACGGCATCAAACGCCCCTCCCCAGCGTGGGACCACAGGGAAGCGAGCCACCCCCTCAGGATTTCCCCTGGAGAGAGGAAAGGGTGAGTTTTCCACAAGTCCCATGGAAGATGAGTAGACACCTGAATTAGAAAGCTGGTGGTGTGTGTGCGTGTGCGTGTGTGTGTCCGTAAAGCCAGGCTTTTCGGGAAGAAGGAGGGAAAGACATTAGGGTAAGACGTCAACAGTGTAAGTCACCATGTCTGAAGCAGTTCAGTGGAATTTCAAATTAGGAGGTAGATAGATGATAGAAAGGGATGGAGAGAGAGGACACAAAAATAAAAGGGATGGACAATAAACTTCAACTCATTCTGGATATTCTTGCCAGCCACTGATGACCATGAGAAAGGTGACATCATGGCCCTACATGACAGTACAGCCCAGGGAGCTGCCAGTGAGGCAGGGTCTTTCTACACTGATGACAGCATCGGGGGCTCGGTGGCACATGAACTCCGTCCAGGGGTCTAGGTGGTTGGGAGTGAGTCTTGGAGCTCTTGGCCCCCATTTAGCTCATTGAATCATTTGTTCTGGAAAACATGAGGATGGGCAAGAGTTGCTGTGTCTCTTGAGCTGCTCAAGTATTTCTTGGGATGGTCTCCAGCCATTCCTGAAGGCACATGTGATCTGGAGGCTAGTTCTCTAGAAGGACTGGATCTGGCAGTAAATCACTCAAGCATCTGGCTGCTCAGAGCCCTTGGCCTTCATGCAGATTCTTAACTTCCTGGCTCCTCCTCCTTCTCCTCGGTAGCTCAGACCCCCTGCTAACCCTGTCCTCCAGGGCCCTCTTTAATTCTTTAATTCCTTCCCAGAAAAGAGAAAACAAGGCTTAGAGACTGGTTCTACTTCTCAGGACCTGGGCGTGTGTCCACAAAGCGACGGGCAACCACACCTGCTTACTACCCCCGAGGCGGTTTCCCTTGCACCTCATTTTGCCCAGGCGGTCGGGCTGATGATGGGGAGGCTGGGACTCGTCGGCATCTCACAGATGCTATGTGTCTGGGACTTGAGTTCAAGTCCGACCCGAGGAGCCTTGCTCCAGACTCCACGTTATTTCTAGGGGTTCTGTTTGCCGGGAACGCTGTACGTGGCACCCCCACATTTCTGAGGCAGTGTGCATGGTGAGCCGATCCCAGGCTCTCTGATGCAACATCCAGCTCCGACGCAGGACTTCACCCCTCCGAGCCTCAGTTTCCCCATCTGTCATGGGAAGGGTAAATATTGACCTTAGCCATTGTTAGAGGGGATCTAATGATCTAAAGATCTAATGAGGATCTACAGAGTGTCGGCACTCAGTAAGGGTTGGCCACATGCTCTCCACCATTGATGTTTTCACCCTTTCAGAGGAATGGGGCCGATCCGGATCCCTCAGGAGGAGAGGGGCGTGGGACGAGGCGAGAGGGGCTTGTGAAATCAGAGAATCTAACGTGTGTTAGGGAATGGGATGTAAGGAAGTCCCACTGGTAGGGAGGGGCCTCTTTTCTTCGACTGGCCAAGTGTCCAGAGCCCTGGGTTCTGATCCAGCCCCCCATCTGGTCTTGGATCCCCAGTATAGACACAGCGGACAGGCCCGGATTTCCAAGCCAAGGCCTAAGGCGGTGGGGTGAGCAGTAACTGCACATGCTTCCTGGATGGGCCAGGCCCGGGGTGTCCTCCGCAGCAAACACGTGGTATGTTAGGAAACAGAGAATTCCTCTGAGACCGCTCCTTCTGGAAACAGGGGGGAAATGCGGATTATCATTAAGGTAAAAAATGTGGGCTCCCAGGTGGCCTGGAACGTCGGGATGGAAGCTGATAAGGTCGGGTTGTTTCCCGCGGGCCTTCTGCGCTCTTGCTGGGTCCTGGGGCCTTGCCCACTTGGGGGACCATAGTCACAGTCTTGGTCCGCGCTGAGCATCTGGGGATGCCCATGCTTGGGCAGCGGCACCTTGTTGGGGCGTCGGGCACCTGCCCAAGGCTCTCCTCTGTGACAAGCGGGGGGCTGTCTCAACGCGTTCAGACATTCTTTCGAATCCTTGTTGCCTCCAAGGGTCTCCCGGAGGCGGTCCTGGGCGGTGGGGACGCAAGGAACTTTGGGGGTACTCCTGTTAGCCCCCCTCCGTCTCAAATAATTCTACGAATGGCGAAACCAAGGGCTGGAGACGGAGAGCCTTGGTCAAGTTCACAAAGCTATTTCACGACTCGAATCCAGGATCCCACGAGCCTTCGGGATCTTGTTTGCTTTGGGGTCAGCTCCGCTCTTACGTCCTGGGGGAGCAGGTTTACGGCTTCTCAGTACCTTGCACGTTCTACCCTCTGAACTGCTGCCGCTGTGACCTTTCAGAAAAACACACCTTGGGTCAGGTTGCTTCCCTGCCTGACGTTCTTCAATGGCTCCCCAGTGCCTCTGGAGAAATCCCACACGCTTCACAAACCACTTAAGGTCTTGCAGGATCTGGCCTTCGTCCCCTCCGTGGCTGTCACCTTGAGGTCACGCTGCGCTAGCGGTGGGTGTCTGGTGACTCCGTGTGTTTGCAGATGCTATTCTTGCTCCTCCAGTGCCCTTCCCCTCTTGTTCTCAAAGGCTTCTCGGGCTCACTCTGTGTGGCCTCCTGTGACCCCTTAGCCACTCCTTCCTCTGAGCTCCCAGAGCTGTTGGTAATTCCTCTATTAGCACTTATGTCATTGACTTAGAATTATTTGTTTACTTGTCTCTTCTCCCCGGCACAGGAAGCGTGTCTTCTGCATCTGTGTGTCCCTCCCCTCCCCCAACGGTGCCTAGCAGAGTGCCCGAGTCCCAGCTTAGGTTCAGCCAATGTCTGTGCAGCGAATGACCCGAGGAGACGTTTGTCCCCTATGCCTGAGATGTCGCTCTCTGTGACCCTGATGGCTCCTGGCTCCTGTTCGCTTTTGGGGCCTCTTTTCTCTCTCCAACAGCTGGCCCAGCCCTGCCCGGGCTCTGGGGCCAATCACAGCTGTAGCCCAGGGAGATTTAAAGAGGCCGCGTTCAGATGGGCAGGTGACTCAACCTTCCACGAGCGCGGGCGTGAGTTCGACTCTCACCTGGGCCTGGGCACTTGGCTCCCACCACCTCCCATGAGACAGGGAGCTCTGGGAAGATCGTTTCCCCTGGGCTCCAGCCCTTCTTACATAAGGGCCTGGCCCAGGTCTAGAAGTGAGTCCCTGAGGCCACCCAGGGACGCCTCCCCTTTGCTTCCCCCCTTCTCCGCCCCCTCCCCCCCCACCCGCCATCACCAATGCCCAGCTACCAGGCCTCTCTGATCTTCACTGGTCCATTCAGGGGCAAACCTTCCTTGGGCACCTGCCGTGTGCCGGGCACTGGATCTCTGCTGCCACAGAGCCACGGTCAGGGTGGAAGGGACGGACCTACGGATGTGACATTAGTGATAGTGTGGTCTATGCCGGGATGAGGGGGTGGACTGTGGGGCAAGGGTGCTGAAGGAGCTTCAGGATGGGGAATGAGCTGAGACTGAAGGAGACTTCCTCCTGCCCCCCGCCCCATCCCAGCAACGTCTAGGGGGCTGCCTGTCCCTGTCCTGGGAGCCCGGTTTTCTCGGAGGAGGGACTGGGCTGGGGACTGGGGGGGGGGGTCACTGGGGGAGCAAGACAGCCCTGCCCTCAAGGGGCTCAGCACCAGTGAGGAGAGAGGTGTAGAAACAGGCCATGGGAGCGTCCTTCTGAGATGAGCCGTGGTGGCCCAAGGGAGCTCAGTTAGGAGGGGGAGCCCCAGGCAGCGACAGTGTCACTTCACTTGTGTCCTGGAACCTTTGCAAACAATCCATGGGGTCTGGTGAGGTAGGTGGCCAGAGGGGTGTCCCTCATCCTCTGGAGGAAGCTTTACAACCCTTCCAGAAGGCAGCAGAGCCCAGGGGCTCGGGAATCTTCCTAAATATGGCCTCTAGTCTTGTCTCCGCTGCTTGAGAGCTCACTGACTTTGGGCAGATGACTTTCCCTCAGTTTGCAGCCGCCGGACCTCAGTTTGCTCATCTGTAAAATGGGTTTACTGTTCGAGTTTTCCCTCTAGGGTTGTATCGAGGGAATAATAACTATGTAAAAACGCTGAGCACACAGTAGGTGGTCCACTTAGGGTGCTTGACTCTTAACAGTAACCATTGCGATCATTGGGAAGCACAGACTTCTGAGGAAAGAAAAGGCCTCGCATTGTCTGCGGGCGGGCGCTGGGGGTGGGTGGGGAGAGCGAAGAAGCCAAGCTCCCTGTGGCGGGGCCTCTGGGCTGTCGGTCGCGTGGCCCCTCCCTCTCCCACCCCCACAGCGGGGCGCGGCGTCGGCGGGCAGCGCAGGTGTCCGCGCGTCCCCATCCCTCGGCGCCTTGGCGGCGGCCCCAGCTCCCTCCTGCCGTCCGCCCTGCGTCCTCCGCTAACCTCGGGTCTGGACTGGGGAACAGCGGGGCCGGGAAAATTTGAGTCACGGTGGGGGGAGCCGAGGAGGCGGGCCGTGACCCTGAACGGGGTGGGCTCTAGGACCCGCCCCGGGCGCCCGGCAGGGGGACCCGCCGCGAGCCCGCGCCCCGCACGCGCCGGCCCGACGGAGCCAGACGCCGCGCCGCAGCCGCTGGGTGCCGGGGCCGCTGGGCGCCCGGGGCCGGACGCGCTCGCAGCGACACTCGCGCCGCCGGTCGCGCCCCGCTCCGCAGCACGATGCCCCGGGCGCCGCTCCTGCGGCTGCTGCTGGCGGTCTGCGCGGTGGCGGCGGCGGCCGGCGAGCCCGGGCCCGCGCTGCCGCTCCCCACGGGGGACGCCACCCTGGCCATCGTCTTCGACGTCACCGGCTCCATGTGGGACGACCTGATGCAGGTGCTCGACGGCGCCTCACGCATCCTGGAGAGCAGCCTGAGCCGCCGCAGCCAGGCCATCGCTAACTACGCGCTGGTGCCCTTCCACGACCCAGGTAGCGCCCCCGCGCCCCCCCACCCCACCCCGACCCCGGGCGCCCTGCCACCCGCTCACCCGTTCCCGCCCCCCCGCCGGCGACCGCGCCCTGGGCGCACCTGCGTGGCCGCACCTTGCTCCGCGGCCGGGCGGGGGCGCCTTCTCCACACATGCGCGCTGGGGCGGGGTCCCCTTGCCTGTCCCCGGGGCGCCCGGCGTCTCCCTGCCCTGCGCCTCCGGGGTGCGGGGTGCGGAGTCAGGCTAGCGACTGAGCGGTGCGGACGCCGCGTCCCGATGCCGCGCAGCCAGCCTGTTGGCTGTGGGCCTTAGGCAGGTGACCTCACCTCCCCGAGCCCCGCTTTCCTTGCGCGGGAAATGAGGTGGGGGGAACTGTCCCCAACCCTCGCTGAGACGCTGAAACGACGCATTCGTGCTCAGGTCCCGGCCCGCGGTGAGCCTTTGCACGGTTTGCGTTTTTACTTCTTTGTCACTTCTTAGAACTTGCTCCCGGCTAGGGCTTCCGAGGCCAAAGGAGCCCCCAGAGGCAGGCAAACCCACCCCTGCCTCGGTTTCCCCGAGGAAAAGAGCAGCTCCTCCGGGTCGCCTCCACCTGCCTGTTCTCACCGCCAGGTCCCCACCCCTGCGCGCCTCACCCTGTCTCCTGCGGCCACCCAACTTTGAGCTCAGTGTTAGGGGCATGGCCTTGAAGGGGTCCCTGGGAGACCCCACTGTGGGGAGCTTCAGGGAAGCAGCAGCAGTGTATGTGCAGACCTAGAACCTTCTGAGCAGCAGGACTGCTTTTTCGCCAACATATTTTTGATGAAAAATTTCAGATTTACATCAGGATGGGGGGGGAGCGGGGAGGGCATTGAACACCTGCCTGCCCCCCCACCCCGATCCTGTGATTAATGTTTATGATTAATGTTTAATGATTATGATTAATGTTTTACTGTTTGCTTTATCACGTTTCTCCATTGAGCCACCTTTCTAGCCAGACTGATAGCTTTAGAAAGCCAAAAAAAACAAAAAACAAAAAACCCAAAATAAAAATGCTAGATTCCTTGCAAAATTGTACTCCAGAGCGCCTTGGGCTGAGAAAATGCACAGTGACCCGGGGCTGTATGAGATAGTAAGCCTTTTTTTTTTTTTTTTTTTGAAGGATTTGTCTTTCTTAAGCAAAAGAGCATTACAGATACTTGCAAAATGGGTAACAGAGGGTGTGACATAATCCCCATGCAGTCCTCAGGCTGGGTTTGGGGATCCCTCCTGCTCCCACAAGTTCTGGGTTCTGTAGAGCTCTGCTGCTCAAAGCCCGGAGGCCAGAGGTCTAGAAAAAAATTTCTGGAAGCATCAAAAGGATAGCTTCCTCCTCCTGGGGTGGGGGGTGGGGGAGAAGGGCAACGGGCAGTTGTGAAGCCGTGGGGTACGGGGTGTGTCCTGGAGCTTCAGCTCAGACACAAGTCACCCTCTGTCCCCCCCCCTTGCCCCCCCTGCAATGCTCTCACTCCCTTTCGGGATCATTCTTGGGCTTCCAGAAGCCATCACATTGAAAGAGCTGAGAGCTTGTCCGATCTACCCCCTTTCCTTACAGTTGAGAAACTGAGGCTCAGGACACGGATGGGGCTTACCCGAAGCCACCTGCCAGGATGATGTAATTTCTGAGTCATAACCCACATTTGTCTCTAAAATGCTTGGCTGCGTTACAGGGCAGGATAGGCACCTGCTGGGGCCAGACAGAGTGTCCCAGGGCCCAGGCAGGGGCTCCTGGGCACTGTTCTCCCCACCCCCACTGTAGCTGCAGGCTTCTGGAAGCTGCAAAATGATTACTCCCCCTCCCCCCCCCCCCAGGGGCCTTTCCTCCCTTCTCTGGAAGCTGAGCAGGTGTGCGACCTTCTGACCTTCACTGCATCCTCTGTGAACCCCAAACCGCCAATCCTCCTCCCCTGTTCCCCAAACCACCCTTCCTACAGACACCCCCCAGGTCCAGGCAGCTCCCCTTCTGTGTGCACGGCCTGTGTGAGGCCCCCCCCCCATGCAAAGGGGACAGGCCAGGTGGCGAGTAGGAAGTGTCACCTGCTGGCTCCTCACGGTGGGTCCGCGAGGAAGGGGACTGACCAAAGGCTTCAGCGTTGGAGCAGGGCTCGGAGACGAATGAACGTTTCTCGGCTTTTGACTACTTGCCTGGCCCTCCCTGCGGTCTCCCCCAGCACGTGGAGCGGGCTGGGTGGTGGCTGACATGTGGGGGCAGGTGTGTGGGGAGGGGAACTGGGAGCGCAGGAGTGACACCGGAAGGTGGGAAAGGGTCGGGCTCTGGAGCGGAGCGCTTAGATTCCCTTGTTTGGGCTGTGAGCGGCCACTGAGGGTTTCTGAGCAGGGATCGGACTGCGGTTTACGTTCTTTTTTTTTTTTTTTTTAACCGTCTTTTGAATTTTTTTGACCGTCTTTTGAATTGGCGAGTGGAATTCCCTTGGGTGGAAGAGGAACTTCAGAAACAGGGTTTTAGCTGTCTGTTTAGGCCCCTAAGGCTGCATGTGTAGAGGGCCTTATTAAAGGAAACCAACCCCCATCCTAAACCCTAAGGGCCGGTCTTTGTAGGGCAAATATCAGTGGTTCTGAACTAGAAGTGTTTGGAGAGTATTTATTTTGAGAGAGGAGGAGGAGGAGCAGAGAGAGAGAGAGACAGAGAATCCCAAGCAGGCTCTGCACACCAGCGCTGAGCCCGACGCAGGACTCGAACCCACAAACCCCAAAACCAGACCTGAGCAGAAGTCAGACGCTTCACCGACTGGGCCACCCAGGCCCCCCCACCCCCTTCAAGTTTTCCAATGCAAGAAAGTTCTGTATTCCGAGCCTCGAAACATAGCATTTTGTTAATGGTTTCATTTTGGCCAAAAATTAAGCTCATTTTCAGGTTTTCATTGTTAACGTTGCAAAAAACACCCTCGTTTATAAATCTCTCTATTTCTGATTGGCTTTTTTCTTTTGCAGCATTCAGTTTCTGGAAGTGGAATTCCTAGGCCCTTTTTAACACACCAAATGGGGTGGGGAGGGCAGCTCTTCAGACTGTTTTCCGAAATGTTTCAGGAGTTGAAACTTGCCCGAAGAGACTTTGAGGGGCCAGTTTCAGAGCAAATACCCCCAACACTGGGCATTAAGATAAAACCAGGTTTTTTTTTCCCTAATTCAAAAGATGGGAAATATCTTATTTTAATTTCTAATGAGATTCAGTCCATTTTCAAGTGTTCACGAGGTTTTTTCTTTTCTGTGAATTTCTTCTTTGGCCAATTGTTTGTGCCTTTTTTTTGTTTTGTTTTCTGTTGGGGTTTTAGTGGTTTCCTTATCAGTGAATGTGAGGGCTTTATATTGATAATAATAACTGTTTTTGTTATGTGGTTAGTATATTTCCTGATTGTTTGCCTTTTAGTGATTCCTGGTGTTCTGAAATTTTAAACACGTATGTAACAAAATCTATTGACTTGCCCTTTGTAATTTCTTTACCTACATGCTTAGAAAAAAATTTTTTTTCTATCACAAAATCAGTTTGATACATGGTCTAGATTTTTTCACCGGTTTTCTCCTCATATTTAAATCTTTAACCTGGAAGTTTTGAAAAAGTTGGTGTAAAACTAATCTAATGGAATTCCTAGAAGGGGATAATTGTTTAGGTACATTTTATCAAACAATCTTCTTTTCTTTTCCCCATTTATTTGGATCCTGCCTTTATCTCACATTACTTTATCTCTTAAGAATTTATCTGGGGACTCCTGGATGGCTCAGGCAGTTAAGCATAGGACTTCAGCTCAGGTCACTATCTCATAATGTGTGAGTTCGGGCCCTGAATCCGGCTCTGTGCTGTCAGCCGGAACCCGCTTCATATCCTCTGGCTCTCACCCTCACTCGCAAAAATAAATAAACGTTTATTAAAAAAAAAAAAAAAAAAAAAGAATTTATCTGGAAATTCTACTCCTGAAACCAATATTACACTACATGTCAACTAACTAGAATTTTAGTAAAAATTGGAAACAAACACATAAAGAAGAATTTACCTGGGCTTTCCATTCTGTTTCATTGTCTAGCGAATCTTGTGCCAAGAGCATATTTATGTTCATTGTTTGGCTTTATGATATGTACTAATAAGGCAAAGTCTTCCTCGTACTCTTTTTTCTTTAAAAAACTTCCCCGGCTTTACTGAGATCCAAGGGACACATACTATTGGGTTAGCCTCAGGAACTACGCCTGTTGATTTGAACCATTTGTATATTGCACAAGAATTACTGCCACAGCAATAGCTGACCTCTCCGTCAAGTCACATAATTACCACTTCTTTTTTGTGATGAGAACATTTCATATCTACTCTTTGGCAACGTTCAAGTATGTGATACAGTATTAGCTATAATCACCATGCTGTATATTAGATCTCCAGAACTCATTTACCCTCTTCTTCTTCTTTTTTAAATGCTTATTTATTTTTTGGAGGGGGTGGAGAAAGAGAGCAGGCATGTGCCTGAGGAGGGGAGGGGCACAGAAAGAGAGCGAGAGAGAATCCTGAGCGAGCTCCACACTGCCAGCACAGAGCCCCAGTGGGCTGTGAATCCCACGAACTGTGAGATCATGAGCAGAGTTGAAATCAAGAGTTGGACGCTCAACCGACTGAGCCACCCAGGCGCCCCCTCATTTCCCTTCTAACTGGAAGTTTCTACCCCTTGACCAGCATATCCCCACTTCTCCCATACCCTGGTCACTGGTAACCACCACTCTCTGTTTCTGATTTTTTAAAATGTTTATTTATTATTGTGTGTGGGGGGGAAGGACAGAGGATCCGAAGCAGGCTCCGTGCTGACGGCATCGAGCCCCGTGTGGGGCTGGAACTCACAAACTGTGAGATCATGACCTTAACTGAAGTCAGATGCTTAACCAACTGAGACACCCACCCAGGTGCCCCTCTACTTTTGATTTCTGAGTTTGGCTTTTTCAGATCCCACATGTGAGTGAGATCAGACAGTATTTATCTTTCTTGGT